GCTTGCAGTAAATGGCGACTATGCTTGTCGTAAGAGGCGACTAACAGGATCCCAATTGCATGGATCGATGCTCCTGAAATCAATCACTGGATTGTCTGGTCCAGACTCGTTTATTAACAGACCGGTGTTAAACAACAAACAAACAAACAATAAACACCATATGCTGTCTACCTGCTGGTACAAATTTTTTCAAAACCAATCACCAAAGAACACTTTGACTCATCATAACATAAGCATGATTTATATATTTTACACCATAATGTAACATTATACATGTACATTAGACTGCATCTGACATTACAATCTGCATCAAGGACGATCCAAGCATGAAACAAAGCAGCATCCCTGCTACAGGTATCTCACACCAGCTGTGCCATTACGAGTCATACCATCACACAAGACATGTATTTAATTCCAAATAATCGTGACAGTGACGCTGTGAATGTTATTCCCTACTAGATCAGCTGACTCAGTATTCTTGGTATTTGACATAATGATATTGACAACCCAACAGCTGATACACAATACTGTACTAAAGAACCCAGAGCGAATATCAATTTTTCACATCCAGTTTCAAATTATCTTATCAATTCTGCTCTTAATGCTAGACTGAATTTGACTTTCTTTATCAAGCTCTGTTGATTCAGTGTTAATATGTTGATACAGACCAGCTGACAATACAACAGAGTGAGTGAGTTTGGTTTACGCCACTTCTAGCCTTATTCCATCCCTATCACAGCAGGGGGCACCAGAAATGGGCTTCACACATTGTACCCATGTGGGGAATCGAACCCGGGTCTTAGGTGTGACAAGTGAACACTTTAACCACTGGGCTATCCCACCACTCAACAAGCGATGAGTGAGTGAGTATAGTTTTACACCACAGCAATATTCCAGCAATATCATGACAGGGGCACCAGAAATGGGCTTCACACATTGTACCCATGTGGGGAATCGAACCCGGGTCTTAGGTGTGACAAGTGAACACTTTAACCACTGGGCTATCCCACCACTCAACAAGCGATGAGTGAGTGAGTATAGTTTTACACCACAGCAATATTCCAGCAATATCACCGGGGGGACACCAGAAATGGGCTTCACACATTGTACCCATGTGGGGAATCGAACCCGGGTCTTCGGCGCGACGAGCAAACACTAAAACCACTGGGCTACCCACCGCCCCTACAATATGAAAGGGTGGTCGGGTAGCTCTGTGGTTGAGGTTCTTACCCTGAATAACATGTTCAATTCCAAAAGGGTACAATGTGTAAAACCGATCACTGATGTCACCTGCTTTGGTAGGGATGGAATGTCAAAAGCTTCATAAAACTAAACTCACTTCCTCCCTACCAGCAAGCGAAAATTTCAGTTGATTCTCAACCCCACATCCTTAAATTTCCTAAAACATTATTTTGTTCTTGGATGTTTTATTTAATCTCGTTTTCTTAAATTTTTTAGAATTTGTCACATATTTTAACATAGCACTCCAAGGGCGGATCCAGAATTTTTAAAAGAGAGGGGACTAAAATATCAAAATCCTCTCTCAGATATTATTACTGCCTACAACATACTATATTTGGTTTTCAAAAAGGGGTAGGGGTTTGGGGTCCAGACCCCTGGAAGATCCGGGGTAGAATAGGTCTTCAGCAACCCATGCTTACCTCCCCCCGTGAAGATCCGGGGTAGAATAGGTCTTCAGCAACCCATGCTTGCCGTAAAAGGCGACTATGTTTGTCGTAAAAGGCGACTAACGGGATCGGGTGGTCAGGCTCGCTAACTTGGTTGACGCATGTCATCATATCCCATTTGCGTGGATCGATGCTCATGAGATCAGTCACTGGATGGTCTGGTCCAGACACGATTATTTACAGACCGCCGTCATATAGCTGGAATATTGCTGAGTGCGGTGTTAAACAACAAACAAACAAAACTTTGCTTATCAACAAGAACTGTCACAATACAAGGGAGATAATCTACCCAAACTAAATGTTATCCCGTTGATTATCTCCACATATTAGCAACAAGGGATCCTGAGTTTGATAGGATATAGTTCAACAGACAAACTCTACACAAGATGTGTTGACAAACGAACATCATTATTCCTTTGCTATGCAAAAACAGTCCACATACTTTCCCATGAAGTTCCAAAAAGCTGAAATAACCCGCCTAAGTATTGTCACTCTGTGATAGTTACAGTATTTGCCATTATTAGCACCCATAAGCACCTAAGTGCTTAGAAAATTGATAAATCAGCGTTAGCAATTGGCACTAGTCCTATAGTCCTTGCAACCCGTGAAAATTCAGGGGTAGAATAGGTCTCCAGCAACCCTTGCTTGACGTAAAAGGTGACTATGCTTGTCGTAAAAGGCGACTAACGGGATCGGGTGGTCAGGCTCGCTGACTTGGTTGATGCATGTCATCGATCCCATTTGCGTGGATCGATGCTCATGATATTAATCACTGGATTGTCTGGTCCAGACTCGATTATTTACAGACCGCCGTCATATAGCTGGAATATTGCTGAGTGCGGCGTTAAACAACAAACCAACCAACCAACCTATAGTCCTTGTCAAACTGCCCAATAGTTGCGGTATCCTAAGGACCAGTAGAAATTTGGCCTTTTTAAGAGTTTATGTTATCATTGTAAGGAACAATGGGCTGAAACTGTAAGTTTCTATCACTGTCAAGGGATCGTTTTATTAAAACTATAAACAACAGGTCAAATGAATTTTCGGAGAACGAGTGGATGTGAACAAATTTTGTTCAAACGTTGGTGAAACGGAAAAAAATGATTACAGTCACAAAGCAATTAAATACCCATTCTCGTATATATAGAGATATCAGTGTAGCATTAATAGTAATGTCAATACTGCATCGACACTAAGTTCTGAATATCAATACTGAATTTGTAATTCACTGCCACAGAAACATTTACATTTAATAAGTCAATGGCAAAAGTCAATTCATGATTGGATGAATATATATGATCTGGCCATTGAACTTTGCAAAAAGCGCTTGACGAAGTCACTATAGCTGCTGACAGCTCTGTTCCCCTATGATACAGAAAGTATGATGCAAAGACATGCTGCTCAGAATTTTAATTACAATTTTTGATGGCTGTGCATAGTTGTATTAAATCGATGTCTTAAGTAGGATTAATCGTTACTATTTACTTTTAATTTATGAATATATAACACATGAGACACCTTGCTCAGCATTTCTATCGGTCAAAAGACTGACCAGTTAAACAATTCATCTGTCAAATTGAAATTATTATCAGTCTATGACCGGTGACCGACAACCATCTGAAACTCTGTGTAAGGCAGAAAATTCAATTTCATGCAAGATAAGAGTTCATATTTAGAATATTATTGCGAGTCAACGTTAGAAATTGGCTTTATTCCTACAGACTTGCCAAACTGCCCAATAATTAAGGTCTAGTAGAAATTTGTCCTTTTTAAGCATTGTTAAGGGTTTTGCTATATGTTATAATTATAACATTTAAAGACTAGTGGATTAAAACTGTCAGTTTCTGTTGCTGTATAAACATACAGAACAATTCACCTTATTAATTATTCGATATTATACAATTATAGATATATCCATAATATTCAAGGCATATAAATAATTACCGTATTCGACATAATAAGCGCCCACGGCGATATTTGCTTGTATATTGGTTTGTGAACAATCCCATTTAGCACCCCTTCCGATTGATCAATGTACACAAGACTTATTTATTCGCGTATAATACGCACTCGTGTGTTATATGCATTCTTAATTATGGGCAATTAAATTCTGGAAAAATATATCAGTCGTATATCAACATTTCAGTCTGTCAGCATAAACCACGAAACTTATCTTTCAACTCTGTTTTTTCCACCAAAATAATATTCTAATAAGAGCCCCATATTTCTAATTTTGAGAGCGCCCCGGGCGCTTATTACGTTGATTACGGTAATTTTAAGGGTCCTTGCTGGCAATATGAGGGTCCTGTTAAGTAATGAAATGGTGTAGTGTCTGTAAGCTTAGATCATTACTTTAGATCCTGGAGAGAATCAATGATCATGTGGACAGTGGTCATGATTGATGGATGACATGACAGACACCCACAACTGCTCTTTTTTCGATGTAGGTACAATGAATATTAAATATTGTCCATCCCTTTGCATGCAGTATATTTTTTTCTGTGTCCATTATCTACGTGTGTGTGTACTGCACATTTGTTAGTCGTAAAACCCTGTATATTGTGATACCTCTGAGTCGATGTAGTGATACTAAATTTAATCAATGACACCCCTATTGTGAAATTCCATGCAGTTTGAAGAGGTACAACACCTGTTGAAGGCAGATTCTAGTGCAAGGCCTTTCCCAGTGTGTGAACAGATGCTGAACCATGTCTATAGCCTGGCAAGGTTTTGTGAAACCATTTGTCACACATGGCCAGGTATGTTTGTCTATTTTTTCTCGGTCTCCGAGAATGGGAGATAATCAATCTTACCAGAAATGCATATTCACATTATCTAACCACATGAAGTGTCATAAAATCTCTCTGCCATGCAGACTGCTGAGAGAGAACATGTTTAGAGGTGATGTCCATCAGGAACATTAGTGTTTGTTTGTTTGTTTGTTTGTTTGTTGAATGCCGCACTCAGCAATATTCCAGCTATATGACGGCAGTCTGTAAATAATCGAGTCTGGACCAGACAATCCAGTGATTGACATCGACAGCATCGATCCACTCAATTGGGATACGATGACATTCATCAACCAGGTGAGCGACCCTGACCAAATGATCCTGTTAGTCGCCTCTTACGACAAGCATAGTCGCCATTTACAGCAAGCATGGGTTGCTGAAGACCGATTCTACCCCGGATCTCACAGGGGTGTGTATGGGCAAAATATTTGTGTTGCAATATATATAATATCATCTCTGTATGCACTAGACCACACAGGCGGTCTCTCAGAGCTAGGACAGACACACAGTTGGGTATACTCACCATAGTAGAAGTTGTGCAGATGATTGGTGTTCTTGACAAGCACCTCCAGCTGTGCAGACAACATGTGATCATGGAGACTGTCTCGCAGCCACGTGATCCCCTTCCCCGAGTCCTCGCAGGTCTGAGACAGCTTGTTGAGCCGCTCGATGCTCGGTGCCAGGACTGGACTCAGCCATTTCAGTCCTTGCACAAAGTCCCAGAAGTCGGAGTCACTGGGAAAGTGGCTCTGTAACACAAGCATCAAATTAGGCCTTACGTTATCAATTTGGGCCTTACAAGATCAATTTATCCTCAAGTTGGGACTACATCATCAAATTAGGCCTTATGTCATCAACTTAGGCCTACTATCATCAAGTTAGGACTACATCATCAAATTAGGCCTTATGTCATCAACTTAGGCCTACTATCATCAAGTTAGGACTACATCATCAAATTAGGCCTTATGTCATCAACTTAGGCCTACTATCATCAAGTTAGGACTACATCATCAAATTAGGCCTTATGTCATCAACTTAGGCCTACTATCATCAAGTTAGGATTACATCATCAATTTTGGCCTACTATCATCAATTTAGGACAACATCATCAATTTAGGATCCAACGACCTTAAAAATAGAAAATTCAGAAGAAGAAAAAGTCAAAACAACAAGGGCTTCTTTTCATCGGCGGTAGAGATCTATTTGAAAAAAAAACTATAATGAAATACTACTGTCCAGTTTGAAAATAATAACTAACAGAAAGGGAAAACATTAAAAACATTCTTGTCTTTTTCAAGCTGAACTCACTACAAACTTGGAGGACCAGTGAAGTGGCCTGTAAAACATCAAATGTGGGCCTAGTAACTGATAGGTGCACAATGGCCTGCATCCTATCAAATCTGGGCCTGGTGACTGATAGGTGTGCAATGGCCTGTAAAACATCAAGAATGTAGACAACTACAATGGTACAATGACACCACCATTCAGGTCACAGCACAGTGCTAGTTTCCCCGGCACAGATACTGGTTGGGGGCCAGCAAGTTATTACTGACACAGATACTGGTTGGGGGCCAGCAAGTTATTACTGACACAGATACTGGTTGGGGGCCAGCAGGTTATTACTGACACAGATACTGGCTGGGGGCCAGCAAGTTATTACTGACACAGATACTGGCTGGGGGCCAGCAAGTTATTACTGACACAGAAACTGGTTGGGGGCCAGCAAGTTATTACTGGTACAGATACTGGCTGGGGGCCAGCAAGTTATTACTGACACAGATACTGGTTGGGGGCCAGCATGTTATTACTGACACAGATACTGGCTTGGGGCCAGCAAGTTATTACTGACACAGATACTGGTTGGGGGCCAGCAAGTTATTACTGACACAGATACTGGCTCGGGTCCAGCAAGTTATTACTGACACAGATACTGGTTGGGGGCCAGCAAGTTATTACTGGCACAGATACTGGTTGGGGACCAGCAAGTTATTACTGACACAGATACTGGTTGGGGGCCAGCAAGTTATTACTGACACAGATACTGGTTGGGGGCCAGCAAGTTATTACTGACACAGAAACTGGTTTGGGGCCAGCAAGTTATTACTGACACAGATACTGGTTGGGGGCCAGCAAGTTATTACTGGCACAGATACTGGTTGGGGGCCAGCAAGTTATTACTGATACAGATACTGGTTGGGGGCCAGCAAGTTATTACTGACACAGATACTGGTTGGGGGCCAGCAAGTTATTACTGACACAGATACTGGTTGGGGGCCAGCAAGTTATTACTGAAACAGATACTGGCTGGGGGCCAGCAAGTTATTACTGGCACAGATACTGGTTGGAGGCCAGCAAGTTATTACTGACACAGATACTGGTTGGGGGCCAGCAAGTTATTACTGATACAGATACTGGTTTGGGGCCAGCAAGTTATTACTGGCACAGATACTGGTTGGGGGCCAGCAAGTTATTACTGGCACAGATACTGGTTGGGGGCCAGCAAGTGATTACTGATACAGATACTGGTTGGGGGCCAGCAAGTTATTACTGATACAGATACTGGTTGGGGGCCAGCAAGTTATTACTGACACAGATACTGGTTGGGGGCCAGCAAGTTATTACTGACACAGATACTGGTTGGGGGCCAGCAAGTTATTACTGATACAGATACTGGTTGGGGGCCAGCAAGTTATTACTGATACAGATACTGGTTGGGGGCCAGCAAGTTATTACTGGCACAGATACTGGTTGGGGGCCAGCAAGTTATTACTGGCACAGATACTGGTTGGGGGCCAGCAAGTGATTACTGATACAGATACTGGTTGGGGGCCAGCAAGTTATTACTGGCACAGATACTGGTTGGGGGCCAGCAAGTGATTACTGATACAGATACTGGTTGGGGGCCAGCAAGTTATTACTGATACAGATACTGGTTGGGGGCCAGCAAGTTATTACTGACACAGATACTGGCTGGGGGCCAGCAAGTTATTACTGATACAGATACTGGTTGGGGGCCAGCAAGTTATTACTGACACAGATACTGGTTGGGGGCCAGCAAGTTATTACTGACACAGATACTGGTTGGGGGCCAGCAAGTTATTACTGAAACAGATACTGGTTGGGGGCCAGCAAGTTATTACTGGCACAGATACTGGTTGGGGGCCAGCAAGTTATTACTGACACAGATACTGGCTGGGGGCCAGCAAGTTATTACTGGCACAGATACTGGTTGGGGGCCAGCAAGTTATTACTGACACAGATACTGGTTGGGGGCCAGCAAGTTATTACTGACACAGATACTGGTTGGGGGCCAGCAAGTTATTACTGACACAGATACTGGTTGGGGGCCAGCAAGTTATTACTGATACAGATACTGGTTTGGGGCCAGCAAGTTATTACTGGCACAGATACTGGTTGGGGGCCAGCAAGTTATTACTGGCACAGATACTGGTTGGGGGCCAGCAAGTGATTACTGATACAGATACTGGTTGGGGGCCAGCAAGTTATTACTGACACAGATACTGGTTGGGGGCCAGCAAGTTATTACTGATACAGATACTGGCTGGGGGCCAGCAAGTTATTACTGATACAGATACTGGTTGGGGGCCAGCAAGTTATTACTGATACAGATACTGGTTGGGGGCCAGCAAGTTATTACTGACACAGATACTGGTTGGGGGCCAGCAAGTTATTACTGACACAGATACTGGTTGGGGGCCAGCAAGTTATTACTGACACAGATACTGGTTGGGGGCCAGCAAGTTATTACTGAAACAGATACTGGCTGGGGGCCAGCAAGTTATTACTGGCACAGATACTGGTTGGGGGCCAGCAAGTTATTACTGACACAGATACTGGCTGGGGGCCAGCAAGTTATTACTGGCACAGATACTGGTTGGGGGCCAGCAAGTTATTACTGGCACAGATACTGGTTGGGGGCCAGCAAGTTATTACTGACACAGATACTGGCTGGGGTCCAGCAGCTCGGACGACTTCATCACACTGCACTATGTGATGCTCTGATGCAACTGACACATCTACATTTGCTAATGAGACAAACACAATTTAGAAATAATAGTTTCATCTCGCTTTTGTTGGTAGTCATTCATTTGACATTTCAGGCAATTGAGATGTTCAGATAGGCGTGTGTGTGTTTGTTGTTTAACGTCGCACTCAGCAATACTCCAGCTATACGACGGCGGTCTGTAAACAATCGAGTCTGGACCAGACAATCCAGTGATTGACATCATGAGGATCTATCCACGCAATTGGGATACGATGACATTCAGCAACCAAGACAGCGAGCCTGACCATCTGAACCTGTTAGTCGCCTTTTACGGCAAGCATGGGTTGCTGAAGACCTATTCTACCCAAGATCTACACGGGTTACGCAGATTATCTGGAGCTCTTGAGCATGTCAAGTCGTATCCAGGGACGATATAACTGCTGGCCTGTTGAACCGTGGCCAGTTAAAATTACAAAGGGTTTGCTGAAACGTAAAGTAGATGGCCCGTCTGGCTAGTCTAAATTACACCCCTTCTCTGTGTATGTTTAATATTTTTAACTGGACACTGCTTAAAGAGAAAATATTTAGGGGATGACGCCATGTGAATGGTTACCTCAAAGAAAGATAAATGTTGATGATCTTGGTAGCATGACAACCAGCCAGTTTGTAATGTTGTGTACAACAACATCTTTATTTGCTCATAAATCACCACGGAATGAGGCAAATGGAAGGCAAGATTTAACCTCAGAGTGCAGGAAATGGCATTTTAGGGTTGAGGAATCATGAGTATGTCAGAGCCCTGTAGGTGGCTGCGTGACTTCAGGTTCGGCCTCTTCACGGCCTCCACCATTTAGTTGTAGGCTAGTTTTGGAGAAGGGCCAGTAACTTTTAAAAGGAGCAAGCCCTGCTGGCTACATACAAATTTGTTGTTAAATCTACCCCTGTCGTACCTACCTGCGCTGGTCGGATTCGGTGTCTGAGTATCTGGTTGACGTGGCTACAGACGCGGTTCAGACCCCCATACGTGTTCCAGACATTGGTGGTGTGGGTTGCCAGCAGGCCCTCGATTGTTGACTTCAGTCCAATCAGCAGCTCATGGTGAGTCGATCTGAAGTTACAACAGTATCAGCATGACGTAGGTCTTCTCCAGAACAGACTGTCATCCAGAGCCAATGTGAAGTGATCAGTTGCTACACATAGTATATTGTTACTCAGTGTCAGGCTAGATCTGTCCTTTCACTTGTTTTACAGATTGTTATGCCAATAATTAAGCCAATATACTTAATTTTACAATAACATTATAATCCTGCATTCTGACTGGTCTGCCAGAGGTATCAAATCAGAGGTCTCAGAGGTTAGATCATGATTTTGCAAATTACTGCATCTGAAAATATTTATTTCGAACCACTTCTTTCGCAAACCCATCCGTTTAAATCTAGTGTGCCTATAACATGTATTAGCATGATTAGGAATACAAAATAAATCATCAAATTCTCAGCCACTTTAACTGGTCGGGCAACAGGCATTTTCTTTTTATTAAATATATACTGTAAATCTTGAAATCAATGCGTCTTCAATTTAATACGATTGCTGACCCCAAGCCAAATATGCGACTCAAAATCAATGAGACTCCCCCACCCCATCCCCAGTGGAATGATACATATCCTTACTTTAATCCAATCAAACAGCAAATAGCACCGCTTATCAGCACTGGGTAAACCACTCCGTAATAACAATAAACAGTGTTTACCTAAACACAACACACAGTTTATATGTTTATTCTGTTGACTGGCATTAAGGAAGTTCAAATGCAATAAAATAATTGAACCAACAACAGTTCACTGCTTGGATTGATTAATGATGCCTAGTTTGACCCAAGTGGGTAGAACTCTTGACCCCAGCAATGATAACTCACCGGATGCCAATCGTGTAATTCGTATTCTTTGAATGACAATGTTATGTACTGGTTACAACAGCTGCTAAATAAACCGTGTTTGTGTAGATATTCAAGATGGTATTTCCGCTATAGATGAATACTAAACCCTCAAAATAAACTAGAAAACTTCAAGGCCCTAGGCGTATTCCTAATCAAAACAGGCCTAATTAAGCGCATCTAAAAGGTCATTAATCTACCAATCCAAAATCCAATAAACATACAAACACCCACCTCACCCGGCTCCCTTAGTTCCCTCCTCCACCCACTTTGGCATTTTTTTCAAATTTAAAAATTCCAAAAATTCAATATAAGCAACCCCTAAAAGCCCCCTCTTGGGTTGCACACACCACTTTCACCCTTTTCGCAATACACTAAATGGCCCGGCCAGCCCCGTGTGCGAAATACGCTACAGTCGGAAAGCGCACGTTAAATCTCCGATATCAGTCAGTCAGTCCGCTATCCAAAGTGTGAAATGAGGTTGTCTTATTGTCTTATTTTTTGCATTTAATTCACGCTCACGTTAACAGTAGTTTATCGTGGTCATGGACACTGAATCAAGCTTGTGATCAGATTCTGTAACCAAACAATAAAAAAACTACTTGTTCCAGACAACAGGGACACAACAGGTATGGGTGGGTAGGTATTAGGGCCGTTACAATTCACTCGCGTATTCGGTGAATCGAACCGCATCCATTCATGAATTGAATTCGTTATTCGTGGCCATAAGAATCGAATATTTATGAATATGCAATCATGTGCATTTACATACCCTGTACCTAAAACATCCATAAGAACATATGATATCCATAGATTTCTTTAAAGACAACACTCTTATAATATTTAATTTAACAGGAATTTGGTCACTGGTCATTGTAGCATTTGAGCAGATACTAAGACTAAGTACCTGGACAAGTGCAGCATATAAATGTATAATATAGATAATTAACAAACCATGTCAATTACTTTATGTTGTTAATGTTTCACTTAATATAATAAATAATACATAATTAATATTCGTATTCGTTACCCTATATTCGTGATACAAATCGCATTCGCCTCATAGGTTGTTCATTGCAGCCCTAGTAGGTATAGTTATTCTTTTTACTTACTATTTCTTCTACAATGTTTAACAAAGACGGCTAGTTCAGTACTGATGGTGGTTGCAATGTTTCATGAACTCGTAGGTCACAATCGCTACAGCAATGACAATACATGGAAACATCCGATTTTTCCCAGCTTTTAAACATGGGATTTCTTGATGACTGTTTCCCGCTTTGACAAAAACATTTGGGTCGCACGTGAAACAATGGGTTGGTCAGTCACCTTAAACACAAGAATTCTTTTTTTGGCCTTATTCATCTTATTATTCATTTAACCTGTCTGAACCAGGTAACTTAGGACGTCTTATTCAAATAAGGAAGCATATTTCTGGTTTAAACATATTTATTTTCACAAAAGTGTGAAAATGGATTGGTAAACAAGCGAAGCGCTTATGTTAATACCGCTCCATTACACATAGGACATAGTACAATAAATACATAAATGAAGGTTAGATGCAACAAATGAATGGTACATGCCAAGCTAGATGTGTATATACACTGATATATAATAAATCTATTTGCAATTTATATTAAACAATCATTTAACTGAAAATCTGCCAGTTGTTAATATAAAGTCTTGAATAGAATCTAATATTAGCATTTGCTCTTCCTTACTCAAATCCGAATTTCCGCATAGCACTGTTTGTAAAGAATAACCATGTTGGTAAAAATACATTTCATTTCGAAGAGCATAGTAATTTGTACACACAAAAAAGAAGTGTAAAGCATCCTCGGTATGGTATCCACAGGAACAAGTTTTTGTATCAAAGATATGTTTATTATACTGATCTGCGTTAAGATCGCTGCAGCCAAGCCTGAGGCGACGGTGAATAATTTGACATAATCTGCTTCCATAATTTAAATCCCAGTGTATACCATTATCTCCCTTTGCGTGAAGCAAATTCTTTAATTGTGTAACGGTCTCTGCCCCCGTTAGGTTTTCTGGTAACATATTCCAAAGTTGTGTTGTAGCTGGTATAAATGAATCTGCATAAGCTTTTGTTTTACACTTCACTGTTTGAAGATAAGTTTTATCCCTTAAGTCATAATTTGTGTTTTCCGAAACTGTATTAGGAATAAGCCTACAAAGATATTCCGGGGATAAATGGTTATTCATTTTGTAAAACATTACCAGTTTTAAATTGTATCTTCTGTCTTTTAATGACCTGTGTGTTTCATTGTAAATCTTCTGATGACTCGTACCCCGAACAGCGCCAGCATATAACAGCATATGGTTCTAAGAGCATCTAAGTGTAATTTTTCCAATAAGTTAGTTTGTTCATTAGTACAGTTTTCCCAAATATTTCTGTTCATAAACTTGTGTAGTGCTCTTATTCATGACACCCTTGATTCATGAGTGAGAGAGTTGGGTTTAACTCCGCTTTTAACAGTATTCCAGTTATATCACGGCGTGTCAGCTTAATGTGGGAGGAAAGCCCGAAGTGATGCAAGTCTCAGACATTTACCACTTCGGTGAAACCCATGAGCACGGGTATGGTGCTGACAAACCTAGAAACAAAATCGAGGTGAACCGGGATTCGAACCCATAATCATAGGTTTCTGGTGTGCCAAAGGGACGCAACTCTGCACAGCGAATCGCAGCTCTTAGATAACTAGGCCACCCCTGCCCCCTCCCTGATTCATGAGGTAACCATGGTAACTCTGAGTTCCTGAAAGCAAAATACATCTTAAAGAAAATATTGCTTTTGAATATGTCTCTTCTGTAAATGACCAAACAGTATAATTATGAATATGTTAAATGTACAGCTGTCGGAACTCAGCTACCTCACACATTAACCTAGGTGATGACAATAGCAGTTGTCCTCACAGGTCAAAGTCCATTACAAAGTCTGTTTGCATGGTTAGTGGGATCAAAGCCATAGCTGACGCACAGAGGATCACAGTAGTTGGAAATCAGCAGATCATGACACAGCTAAGGGACACACCGAGGATCACACTAGTTGGAAATCAGCAGATCCTGACAAAGCTAAGGGACACACCGAGGATCACAGTAGTTGGAAATCAGCAGATCCTGTCACAGCTAAGGGACACACTGAGGATCATAGTAGTTGGAAATCAGCAGATCCTGACACAGCTAAGGGACACACCGAGGATCACAGTAGTTGGAAATCAGCAGATCCTGACACAGCTAAGGGACACAACGAGGATCACAGTAGTTGGAAATCAGCAGATCCTGACACAGCTAAGGGACACACCGAGGATCACAGCAGTTGGAAAATCAGCAGATCCTGACACAGCTAAGGGACACACTGAGGATCATAGTAGTTGGAAATCAGCAGATCCTGACACAGCTAAGGGACACACCGAGGATCATAGTAGTTGGAAATCAGCAGATCCTGACACAGCTAAGGGACACACCGAGGATCACAGCAGTTGGAAATCAGCAGATCCTGACACAGCTAAGGGACACACTGAGGATCATAGTAGTTGGAAATCAGCAGATCCTAACACAGCTAAGGGACACACCGAGGATCACAGTAGTTGGAAATCAGCAGATCCTGTCACAGCTAAGGGACACACCTAGGATCACAGTAGTTGGAAATCAGCAGATCCTGACACAGCTAAGGGACACACCGAGGATCACAGCAGTTGGAAATCAGCAGATCCTGACACAGCTAAGGGACACAACGAGGATCATAGTAGTTGGAAATCAGCAGATCATGACACAGCTAAGGGACACACTGAGGATCATAGTAGTTGGAAATCAGCAGATCATGACACAGCTAAGGGACACACCGAGGATCATAGTAGTTGGAAATCAGCAGATCCTGACACAGCTAAGGGACACACCCAGGATCACAGCAGTTGGAAATCAGCAGATCCTGACACAGCTAAGGGACACACTGAGGATCATAGTAGTTGGAAATCAGCAGATCCTGACACAGCTAAGGGACACACCGAGGATCACAGTAGTTGGAAATCAGCAGATCCTGTCACAGCTTAGGGACACACCTAGGATCACAGTAGTTGGAAATCAGCAGATCCTGACACAGCTAAGGGACACACCGAGGATCACAGTAGTTGGAACTCAGCAGATCCTGACATAGCTAAGGGACACACCGAGGATCACAGTAGTTGGAAATCAGCAGATCCTGTCACAGCTAAGAGGCACACCAAATATCACAGTAGTTGGAAATCAGCAGATCCTGCACAGCTAAGGGGCACAATGACCACTTGATCTATTATAAGAGGCAGGACACAATGTTGTGCAAGCATTTTCGGGTGTTTTTTTTCTTTTGTTTAATGCCACACTCAGCAATATTCTAGCTATATGACAGAGGCACGTAAATAATCGAATCTGGACTAAACAACTCATTAGTCGATGTTGTGAGCCAATCGTCATCAGAGTACAATGACACTCTATCAACCACCACACCCAGCATGACCACCTCATCCATTTGGTCGCCTCTTACAACCAGCATAGGTTGCTGGGGACCCATTCTAACCTAGAAACCCCACAGTGTGCATCAATGGTAATCTACTCTTGCGACCATCACACGTTGCTGGGGACCATTCACTCTAACCCTGGTCCTCATAGGTAGCACTAAGTAATAGGGCGCGGATGGGTAACTTGGTACACGGATAGGGTGGGTACTAAGAAGGACCCAGGTACCCACAGTACTACCCGGACCCATGGTTAGTCATGTGATATAAACATGTTTATTTCCATAAAGTGGAGGGATTGGCAAACAAGCAAATTTTGCTTATCTGAATGCCTCTCCCAAACATGATACATATACAAATAGCAATGTATTGATAGTGACATGAGAAATAGCAATAGCATACATTGTATAATTTGCATCAAAGGTAAGTATTGTTCTGTAAGTGTTTAATTACTGGATTATCTTCCATAACCACAGTTACATTATTATTTACATTCAGCAGAACAACATCGCAGTATCATATAGCAAAGCCATCATCTCAGACAAAATCTCTTAATCGGCAAGAAGAAAGAATAAAACTGTGCACCGATTTCAAAATTTCAAGATTTGTTACTGTCGTTACATTTGAATTACCATTTAGAATTGAATTTAAATCTTAGCCTTTTACGAAATAATACATGTTTTGCCTTACTGTACTGTTTGAGGGACACGTAAGAAAGAAATGAAGTGCGTCATGTGATATATAGTTTAAATACAATAACAATAAAAGTCACTTTGGTTTGCATTTCTTTCTGACTCTGCACACACTGTTTCTGACTTTTATATGTTTGAGTAAAGAAATAATTTCAGTTGACTTCAGTGTATGCATGATCTTATCCTTTTATATGTGAATGTAAATAGCACTTGCCAGGGCTCCGGTAAAATAATTCTTAATCGGACATCATACACCCAACTCTTGATACCTACAGTGGCTACACTGGTAGAGATTGGTAAAAGGGGGTCGAGTACACAGGTCGCAATTTGGAATCGTCCCAGCCCTACTAAGTAAATCAGCATTAGAAATTGGCACAAGTCCTTGCCAAACTGCCCAATAGTTAAGGTATCCTAAGGACTAGTAGAAATTTGCCATTTTTAAGGATTTTGCTATATGTTATCATTAAAACAACTAGTGGACTAAAAATGTTAGTTTTCTACCCCTGTAAATGTTGGAGAATGAACAATTTTTCGAGTTCACACCCCATAATGACGAACAAGGACTGTATTACCGTATTCTACGCAATAAGCGCCCCGGTCTAATAAGCGCCCACGGCGCTATTTGCTAAGATATTGGCTAGTGAACAATCCCAATTAGCACCCCTTCCCATTGATCAATGTACACAAGACTTATTTATTCGCGTATAATACGCACTCGTGTGTTATATGCACCCTTAATTATGGGCAATTAAATTTTGGAAAAATATATCTCTCGTATATATATATATTTGAGGCTGTCAGCATAAACCACGAAATTTATCTTTTAACTCTGTTATTTTCACCAAAATAATATTCTAATAAGAGCCCACTATTTCTAATTTTGAGAGCGCCCTGGGCGCTTATTACGTCGAATACGGGATATTGCACCGACATGTTTGATGTCAGAGTACTAAACACATTTTTTAATCATACATCCTGTTCAACTCAGTGCACTCACTTTGAATGTTCTGTTTGAGGAACTGAAATATTGAAAGGTAGATCAGCAAATATCCCGGGATTTGACTTGCAACAGGTACATTTTGACATGAAAACCAAGTTTCTGAACCGTATGATCTTGACGATATACTGTAAATCTTGAAATTAACGCGAGCGTGAATTAAATGCGAAAAATGTGAGTGGTCTTTGCTCGCATTGTTAAACATCACATTTATATCAACAATAAGACATTTTGGATAGCAGAAATACCAACTTAGACATATGCTGAAAACAAACAACTATGTATTCCACATCACTGTTTATTGAGCAGCACTTGTAACAAGTATATAAACAATGTCATTCAAACACTAATTACATCCTTTGAATTGTCACTGCTGGGGTCAAGACTAGAGTTCTACTCACTCATGTCATCACTGATCACACCTGCAAGTCCAGACAGACGCCAACTATGCAACGCGGTGTCTTTGCCAGCGCGCATGTATTGTTTTAGCGGAAGTACTCTACTCAGCGCTAATCAGCGGTGCTATTTGGTGTGTATTTGGATTAATGTAAGGTTGGATTAAGGTGAGGATTCTCCTGTAAACCTAACAGAGGACGTTTTCTTTAGATATATCCATTGATGCTTGAGAGGAAGGGGGTGTCGCATTCATATTGAGTCGCATTTTTGGCTAGGGGCCAGCTGTCACATTCTTTTTGAGGCGCATTAATTTCACGATTCACAGTACCAGTTCTGCCAATCATATTTGATAGAGATCGATGCGGAAGCTCTAATCTCCTATCAAAACGTTTGTATGGTAATCCCCTGTACAACAAAATGAGTCTACGAATTCACTCCCAGTTTTTCTACGAATTCACTGTAAGTTTTGTGTTTACAAGTAGGACTTGTTTACGAAATCACCACATCCCTGTGAATATGATCACGTTGGTACCTAGCTAAGCATACTACTTAGAAGCAGTAAATTTATTGTGAATCTGAAAACTTTAATTTGACATAAGTCCACCTCTTACCTAAGTGTATTGATGTTTCCATAAAGAACAATTAGCAAAAGTTATTCTAATTTGTAGCTGGGCTTCTCTTAGAAACAGAAAATAGAGCTGGCTGTCTTGTTACTGGCCATGTCCAATAGGCTAATATTAGTTAAAACATCTACGATTTATTTCAGGTAAAGCAATCATGTAGCAAGTGTATTTTTTCCGAATTAAATGGTGTCGTCTCCTTTAGCCTGCTTGTGAGCTAGGTCAAAAATTATTTCTCGAGTTGCCTGTTGCTGCGATCTGCATAGCATTTACATTATAAATAGGTACAGGATCAGTCGTGACGACACCAATCTGGGTTTAATACGATCATTTCGGTTATTTTGATGTGAATATGTGCTTGATATGGCAGATGTTGTTTGAAAAATAACACCAGATTCTCCTGTTGCGAAACGAACACAGATTGCGTAAATAATTAGCGAGGAATAGCCTGGTATCGCTAGGCGTATACACGGAACATGTGACAGGTGCAGCGATCTTCATCCTGTGGTAACGAAGCGTCACCGGTTTTATTTACAATCGACAGAGGGACATTCCAGTCACGCTCGGCATATTGCTAATCATTTATTACAAGCCTTTTGTACATGATTACAAAATTATATTCAGTGACAATAACCTTACCCTGCATTTGGTTCCTCAAAATCACCACTGTCCGCCATTGTTTACATGGCTGACGTTCCCATATTTAGCAAGGGAGGTAACTGCAGATGCACTTTGCCGGCTGTTCCGGGTCCAGAATGCGCGGATGGTGGTTGCATGTTTCGATACAGTTGGTCAGTCCTACATCCGCTGCACTGGCATTTGCGATTCCGTGATAGCTGTCCATTTTCTCCTTTTCTTTTCAATAAGGTCCAAGTGATCTTATGATTAATATGAAGCGATGAGTTTCATTGTAGGGCGTAAGTTTAAATTTAACTTTCCATCTCCGGCGATGACAAAACGGACAGAAAAAAAGACTGTGATTTGGGTTAATTGGCTTAACGCCGTTTTCAACAGTATTCAGTAATATTAGAGCCTCGGGTACAGTCTAGATTTGTTCTAACTTGGCACCAGTCCAAAACTGGAAAGAACATCTGGATGTCGATCGCCGAGCCTTTCTGTTGTAAAGTTGGTTGGTTGGTCTGTTGTTTTACGCCGCAATCAGCAATATTCCAGCTATATGACGGCGGTCTGTAAATAATTGAGTCTGGGCCAGACAATACAGTTATTAATATCATGAGCATCGATCTACGCAATTGGGATCGATGACATGCATTAACCAAGTCAGCGCGCCTGACCACCCGATCTCGTTAGTCGCCTCTTACGACAAGAATTGCATGGTTGCTGAAGACCTATTCTACCCCGGATCTTCTGTTGTTAAGAGATACAAGTGTACCGTGTTTCATCTATAAGACGCCGAACATCCACTCCGGCCTCTATTTGACGTCTGGTCATAACCTTTGTCAACAAAATAGAAAAAAAACACACTGTCACCAAAAAACGAAATTTAAACGTTCATATATACATCTGTAGGGCACTTTGAACAGCCACTCAATTTAATCACCCAGAGATTAAATATAGATAAATCATCTCTGAATCTGTGCATTCGCCATGAGAGATATTTATTGTTGTCGAATGACTTTCAACAAAATCAATAAATGCGCCATCGTGTCACTGAATTTACCGGTCCATCACATGATTGTCTGCAGGCCGTTGTCGCATGTACTGTCACGTTGCGGTGTCAGATAACAAACAAACATGCACTCACTGTTTAAGCAAATTGTGTGACAGTCGGGTGCTACCGATCAACCAGGACATGCTTGCCCTTACCGTAACACCTGTTGTCGTCATTGATTTTCAGTGATTAATTAATACAATTTTCACCGCTTTTGTGCCTATTACGACCAATGATATCTGTTTCGGCGGAATGTTGTTTACCGCCTCGGTAAGTAATTCTGCAGCTATATCACGGAGGCCTATAAATAATCTGATAACATAAGAAACCATGCCACGAGCTAGGGAATGGTGACCCGCAAGACCTGTCTTCAAAATTCACTCACCGTACACTCAATCTCATTAAAATCAGATCTTACTTCTCGCTATCGCTAACCAAAGCTTTGTTTAGCGGAAGCGAGCAGTCAGATCTGATTTTAATGAGATTGCGGTACACTGGATCTTTCACGATGGCCTTGACATGTCCAGCACGTGGAAGTCCTACGTCGGTGCTTGCGTTCGATTTCAAACCTGTGGACGACCCAGGTGAACCCGTGATGACCAAACACAGTTAAATTAACCTTGGCTGATCAATGTCAGCACATGTTGGACCCGTGAAGATCAGGGGTAGAATATATTCAGCAACCCATGCTTGCCGTAAAAGGCGACTATGCTTGTCGTAAGAGGCGACTAACGGGATCGGGTGGTCAGATTCGCTGTCTTGGTTGATGAATGTCATTGTATCCCAATTGCGTGGATAGATCCTCATGATGTCAATCACTGGATTGTCTGGTCCAGACTCGATTGTTTACAGACCGCCGTTATATAGCTGGAGTATTGCTGAGTGCGGCGTTAAACAACAAACACACACACCTATCTGAACATTTCAATTACCTGAAATGTCAAATGAATGACTATCAACAAAAGCGAGATAAAACTATTATTTCTAAATTGTGTTTGTTTCATTAGCAACTGTAGATGTGTCAGTTGCATCAGAGCATCACATAGTGCAGTGTGATGAAGTCGTCCGAGCTGCTGGACCCGAGCCAGTATCTGTGTCAGTAATAACTGACCACCCGATCCCGTTAGTCGCCTCTTACGACAAGCATAGTCGCCTTTTACGGCAAGCATGGGTTGCTTAAGACCTATTCTACCCCGGATCTTCACGGGTGGGACATGACAAACTTACAATTGCAACCTGACTACAGGCGTCATCAGCCTCAAGCTCAGAACAGCTTCCGTTTGTATACATCGCACTCAGTCGACACGTGTAGCCGTTGTCGGCGTTACAGAAGGGGGCGGACAGACAGCCTGGGTTATTCAGGCAGTGCATGGTGCACTCATTCTTGTTAAGGGTTATCCTGATTGAGATAAAGTCACTATCAGTTTTTGATGCGGGACAGTTCTTGAACAGGACGCGTCTTCTCGTCCCGATGACTTTCGGGAACACGAGTAGCACCGTCAGGCAGGTCAGTAGGAACTTCATCGTCAGTTGCAAGCTCGTACAACAGTTCAGTTTGTTTAATATCTGCAGCAAATAAATAAATAAATAAATAAATAAATAAATAAATAAATAAATAAATAAATAAATAAATAAATAAATAAATAAATAAATAAATAAATAAATAAATAAATAAATAAATTAAATAATTAAATAAATAAATAAATAAATAAATTAATTAATTAATTAATTAATTAATTAATTAAATAATTAAATAAATAAATAAATAAATAAAAGCTGAGGTTGACATTAACACAGACATGTTTGTTGGTTGTTGTGGGGGGACATTCACCAATCTGAAAGTGTGTCGGCATATTTTCAGCGGATGAGGGGCGATGGGGTAGCCTAGTGGTTAAAGCGCTCGCCCGTCACGCTGAAGACCCGGGTTCGATTCCCCACATGGGTACAATGTGTGAAGCCCATTCCTGGTGTTCCCCGTGATATTGCTGGAATATTGCTACAGCGGCGTAAATCCACACTCACTCACTCAGCGGAGGGCGGAAAGTTGCCAGGGTCGTAGGCGTTAAACTACTTTGGAGAAAGAAAATAACGACACTCATATGGACGTATTCGTGATTAAAACTGACGATCAGCAGATTCTAGCGTGGTTAATGTACGCAACTCTGTACAGCACACACCCTACTTGGTGAGATGAGGTTAAGTGAAATGGGTTTTAATGTCGCGTCCAAGATTTTTGCACGTGTTTCTCACTGAGATACCATGCCGCAGTTTAACATGAATAACCCACTCAGACAAAGTATACTGAGTCGACCAGTCCTTGCTTTAGCCCTTTAATGCCGAGCGCCAGACAGGGTAACAACAAGTACCATGTCTTTAATGTCTTTTAGTATGAAGCGGCCGGGATTCGAACCCCGAACCTTCCGCTCTCCGGGCGGACGCTCTACCCTTAGACCACGGAGGCGGTCTATCCTGCTTGGATACCCGTAGCCTTGTATATGAAATATTAAATGTATATGATACTAACATTTAAGAAACATTAATTACGGTCAATTATATATAATTTAACCATACTCGCCGTCTCCCTGGTCCCATCGTCGTTTGGAATTGAAATCAAACACGAAGTAGTAGCAACATTTGAAAACAACTAGCAAGTTATCGAACTACTGTTGCCACAGTTTTGTTTCGCGGTTGTCAAAGCAGATGACGTCTGTAACTGGTGTATATGATAAATAAATCTAGCCTGTATATTGCTCCATGTCACATTCAGGTAATGTATTGATTCGCGAACACCTGGAGTCATCACTGATTTTCAGTCACCCATCCATACATGTTCACCACGATGGAGACGTAAGGGCAAAAGTCAGTGAGTGAGTTGGGTTTTACGCCGCTTTTAACAATATTCCAGTTATATCACGGCGTGTCAGCTTAATGTGGGAGGAGAGCCCGAAGTGATGCAGGTCTCAGACGTTTACCACTTCGGTGAAACCCACGAGCACGGGTATGGTGCTGACAAATCAAGAAACATAATCGGGGCGAACCGGGATTCGAACCCACAATCATAGGTTTCTGGCGTGCCCAAGGGACGAGACTCTGCACAGCGAATCGCGGCGCCTTAGACGACTGGGCCACCCGTGTCCCCCTTAAGCGTAAAAGAACTTGCTTGATTAGCCAATGAAATGCCATGGAATCGTTACCATTAGGAATGTAAACAAATTCAACAGCAAATGTTTTTTTGTTTGATTATTGTGGACATATTTGTTGCAAATGGGTTTTTTTCTACGTAACGAAATTATAAAATGAAAATATTAATCAATTCAAGAACACAAAATAATTCGGTACATGTGTACGAGGGTGGCAGATAGCTTATTAACCACGAAGGGTGTACAGTAGTCTTAACAGTTTGCATGTAATAAGTTAGATACTTCCCATACCTACAGGCTACAACTGAACCAAATACACCACTAGGCAGCATATTTGAGAGTCTAGTTATTCTCTGTTGATGAAAATCGACAAAAAGGGCTACCGCGCTATCATCTTCATCTTCCCATCCAGTTTCCACCCTTGCCGAACTAGGTATTATGGAGTTACATTTTGGCTGGACTAACGAGTCTATGCATAGTCCAATCAAAATCGCGATCCGAAATCGAAATCCGGTTCGTAAACTGTCATGCAGATTTCGGTCGATTGGAGGATGTGCAAAACATGTGCACCTCTAACTCGTTGTCAACAGATATTTTCCAAATCTTTTCATGTTTTTATATAAGGTGCTCTCGTGATTTGATGTACTTCGCGATGTAAGACTCGTTTTATCAAAATATAGAGATCTTGATTATCGATCAGATCGTCTTGACTGGGCGCCGCCGTTTTGTTTGAAGCAAATGCAAGTGATACGAGAAGTGGAATCTGATTGGTCAATAGGGGAGGCATAGAAAGGGCATAACTCGCAATAACCGCTGGTGGCGCTACGATCGAGCCCAGGAATTCCAGCCTAGTTTGGCAAGGGTGGAAACTGGACTTTTAAAGTCAGTTAACTCTCTTGCCTCTGGAAGATGCGCTATGGTCTCCACGCATCGACA